TCAAGGGGTAGTAGTCCTTAAACTCAGCTGCATATCAGAATTACTTGAATAACTCCGAAAAGTCCTGATGCCCAGACAACCCTCCATGCTAATTAAACTCTAAGAGTGAGAAACATGTTGGTATTTTTTACAGAAGTGGGGTACAGGCCAGAGGTGCAGGGGTGGTGGTAAGAGGATTCACCAGAGTCAGAGTGGGGAGCAGAACAGGTAGATTGACGAAGTACATTGCTGAGGGGGGCAGCGGGGAGATAAGAGAGGTCTGCCCTGGCCAAGGATTTGATTGAACTCAAGCTGAAGCAGTTGCAGCTAGCTTCCTAGTGCTGTACTTTAACACTTTGTACCACCAAAGTTGGTGCTTTTTTCTAAAGCTGCTTCTTCCCCAGGCAATTCCAATTCACAGCCATCCTAGTACCTACCACTTGGTCTTAGTGTGATCCACAGACTTGTAGCAGTGGCATCACGTGAGCGGGAGTTTGTTAGAGATGCAGTCTCAGGTCCTGCCCCAGGCTGCCTATATCAGTCTGTATTTAGTGATTCCCAGTTAGTTCATTGATGTTAAGTTTGATAAATGCTGTTATAGAGAACACAAGTGGTGTCCAGTACGTCTTCTGGATACATAAGACAGAATGGTGTCTGAAAAGTGGGCTGCTCAGGAAATCTGTGAATTTCATGCCTCTTTGTGGAACAGTTCTAATTGCTAGAGAGTTCTTTTTTGGTAAGTGTCAAAAAATCAACTTTCTAATGATAAGAGTCACAAAGGTATTTTTTTCAGGTTAAGATGACTTTTGGAATGCACCTAAAGTCGTACGCTGGTCACCAAGAGAACCAACCTAATGATTAGAAGATAGTCATTGACCAGTGACTTATCCAATCATGTATGCAAATGAAGTCCCCCCAAACGCCCAAAGGACAAAGTTGGTGAACACACAGAGATTAGGACAGAATGACCTGCTAGGACAGAGAGCACAGAGGCACTGTCACTTTCCCCCAATACCTTGCCTTTTTTTCTCATCAATCTGGCTATTCCTTTTATAAAACATCAGTTAGCTGGTAAGCAAAATGTTTGAATTCTATGAATTGCTTTAGCAAATTAATTGAGCCTGAATAGGGATCAGTGGGACCTTGATTCTATAGCTGAAACCACAAGTTAGAAGCAGAGGTGCTAACCTGAGTTTGTGACTAGCATCTGAAGTGGTGGTGAGGGCTAGCATTGTGGGATGGAGCCCTTAACATATGGCATCTGATGCTATCTCCAGTAGATAGTGTTAGAGTTGAATGGAATTGCAGGACATCAAGCTGGTATTCAAGAATTGGGTGTTGGTGTGACATTCCCACACCTAAATGTAGTAATTATAATCAGAATCTTAATAGCATAGAACAGGGGTTAATGAACATTGTTCTATGAGTCAAATTTAGGCTGTTGTCTATTTTTGTAAAGTTTTATTGGAATACAGCCATGACCATTTATTCACATATTTTCTTTGTCTATTTTTATGCTATAGTAACAAGAACGAGTAGTTGTGACAGAGACTATATGACCCACAGAGTAGAAAATATTTAGTATCTGGTCATTTAATGAAAAGATTTTTCCGATTCCTGCTACATTAAATGCATGAACACGACACACACACACATATACTTACACAATGTAGTAAATATAGAAAATAGCCACCATGTCCAGATAAATTACCATTCTAATTTTAGTAGCAGTAAGTCTTCTAGGAAATTTCTCATTGCTGTCAACTTTTGCCTGTGATGTGGTTTTGTAGTCTGTGGAATTATCTTTTTATTGCCTTGAAACAAGTCGGAAAGCACAGGCTATTATCTAGAAATCGTGCTTGAAAATGGTAAGTAGAGAGTGACACACAGTGGACAATGCAGGAAGCTTGAGTACCATTCCTAAGGCATTGTGCAACTTGGATGAAAGCTTTTGAAAAAAGGGTAGATGTTATGGCCAATATGGCAGTTGGAATATACACAGATGATATTATTTCTCTCTGAAACACTATTAGAAGGCTTTTTAAAAAAGTTATAAACTCAGAGAAATTAGGAAAATAGAAGAGGAACAGTTATAAAAATTCATACATGATTGTATGAATTATAATTTCAGTAGATCCAGGACACACTGATTTTTCATTATCTCTCACAATGGGGTCCTTCTCAGAATAATATCTAAAGGAATATGTCTGAAAGATAAGTACATGAACCAAAAAGCGAAGGTGAATGAACATCCCATGCATTAACTAACAATGCTAGCCTTCCCAAGAGTAATGAAGGAAAGAGACTGTCAGTTCCAATTGTGTTTAATAGCAAATAACAACACTCAATTCATAGTTGCTGAGTTAAACAGGGTGATTAGGGTTCAATGACAGAAGGCATTTCTATGAATCTCTTGGCTTTTTCATTATGGTACAATAGAGTTGCTGCCATTCCAGCCATCAAATCCACATTTGAGACAGATATAATGGAATAAGGTCAAAGGATATATTTGTCTCTTTATAGTAGAAAAGCAAGTGCTCTCTCAGAGACTTCTACAGTAGATCAGGTTTCTCCTAATGTTTCATTGGTCACAATTTCATTCAAAGGTACATCTAGCTGAAAGGAAGATTGTGAAGGTAAGAAACAGGATTTTCATATGTCACTTGGAGCCATTATGCTCCATTACCTAGAACTGGACAAAAGAACTCCTTCCCCTCAAACTTCCCAAATTAAGACTCTACTAACAAAAACAGACAAAAGGATGCTGTGTAGCACAGGAACCAAAATAAACAGGTTAAAATGTAAAAAAAAAAAACAAAAAAAACAGCTGAAAATGGGGCTCTAGCACTTTGTTGGTGGGAATCTAAAAAGCTAGTCACTCTGAAAAATAGTGGACATCTTTTACATGTCAAAATGGACATTGTAGATGTTAAGGATCTTTAGATGGGGGCAGTGATCCTGGAATATGCAGGTGAATACAGTGTAAGAAGAGTCTTTGTAAAAGCCAGCCAGGAGGATTAGAGTTAGAAAAATAAATGATGAAGGAAACAGAGGTTAAAGCTACATACTTTGAAAATGAGAGAAGGGACCACAAGCCAAGAAAAGTGGGTGATCTCTAGAAGTTGGAAAAGAAAGATTCTCTTCTAGAACTTACACAGGGACACACCAACATCAGCACCAGACTTCTGGTCTCCAGAACAGTAAGTTACTGTGTTACTTTAAACCACTAAATTTGTGGTAATTTGTTTGTGTCATCATTGGAAACTAAAATACCTCCTGCCTTGTATTTCTATCTTTGGGCATCTAAAAATTTCTTATTTTTCATTGCATATTTTTACAAGTATGTCCAATTCATTCTCCTTTTTTGCTTCCATCTTCCCTCCGTTCCCTCCTCTTCTTATTTGTTAATAACATCTTCACTGAAATAAACCAGAAAGAAAAAGAAAATTGAATGGTCTAACTTATAGAAAGGATGTAGAGAAACCAAATAAGGGACCAGAAAAAAAAAAGGGGGTACCTATAATAAAGTAAAAATCAAAATTATTAGGCAACTATAGATCAGAGACATTCTCTAGGGGAGGAGGAAGGAGAAGAATCAAGACAGGAGTGGGAAGAGCACAAGAGACTACAGTGATGGTGCATGGGTGAGTTGGTGATGGGAATTTCACATGGAAATCATACATTATACAAAAATGAAGGCTGAGGTAATGAATATATTTTAAAAAATTTAAAAATAACCTCTTCACTGAGCTATAATTTATACACAATACAACCTACTCATTTAAAGTATATAACTCATTGATTTTTACTATAGTATAGAGTTATGCAACCACTACCACAATTAAGTCTAGAACACTTTCATCACCTCAAAAAGAAACCCTGTACCCCTTAGCTATCATCCATTGTTCTAGGCCCTCCAGCCCTAGCCAATAGCAGCTACTTCTTATCTATAGATAGGCCTATTCTGGACATTTCATATAAAAAGAGTTCTTCAGATGTGGTCCTTCATGACTATCTCACTTGCTTAATGTTTGCAAGACTTACCCATGGTATAGCGTGTATCAGTACTGCATTTCTTTTCTTTTCTTTTCTTTTTTTAAAGATTTATTTATTTGTGCATACAGAACTGAGGTACAGGCCAGAGGCTCAGGGGCGGTGAGAGGCTTCACCAGAGACAGAGTGGGGAGCAGAACAGGCAGATCTACAAAGTACACTGCTGAGGGGAGCAGCGGGCGGATCAGGAGAGGTCTGCCACGCCATGTGGTCACCTCCGGGGCAGGCAGGAATCGAACTCATGTGGAAGTGGCTTTAGCTTCTTAGTGCTGTGCTTCAACCCACTGCGCCACCAGGGAGGGCCCTCCTCATTTCTTTTTATTGATAAATATGATTCCATTGTATAGCTATGTATATTTTATTTATCTATTCAGCAGTTAATGAGCATTTGGTTGTCTACATTTTTTGGCTATTATGAATAAGGCCACTTGTAAATGTGTGTGTCAGTTTTGTGTGGAAGAATAAAAGTTTATTTTACTCATTTTTAAAATAGGTACTTAATAAATATTTATTCAGTTGATTACAGTGGCACAGGAGGCCCATTGTGTGCTAATCACAAAGAATTGGATATATTAACATTTCAACACAATAATACACCAACTCATTGGACTTGATTGCCAGAAACAGCTGGAAAAACTACTAGTTCCACTCCTACTAAATGAGTTGTTTGGGTAATCTTGTTCGGGTAATCTTTTTTTTTTTTTTTTTTTTAAGAAATTATAATTTTTTTTTTTTTAAAGATTTATTTATTTGTGCATACAGAACTGGGGTACAGGCCAGAGGCTCAGGGGTGGTGAGAGGCTTCACCAGAGACAGAGTGGGGAGCAGAACAGGTAGATCTACGAAGTACACTGCTGAGGGGAGCAGCGGGCGGGTCAGGAGAGGTCTGCCGCGCCATGTGGTCTCCTCCGGGGCAGGCGGGAATCGAACTCATGCAGAAGTGGCTTTAGCTTCTCAGTGCTGTGCTTTAACCCGCTGCGCCACCAGGGAGGGCCCGGGTAATCTTTTATAGACACTTTGTTGTGCTTGTATTTGGCATGTCATGGTGGTTAGCTTTGCAGGAAGAGCAAAAGTTTTTAGTTAGTCATTAGCGAACATTTACTAGCTGCCTATTGTGTACATAGTATATCGGTAGCAGTGGATGTTGGAGCTCTATAGGAGAGCAGACACTCAAAAGAATTATATATACAACATTTAACTCTTCTGATAAACTGGATGAGGTAGAGTAAGCAGACTAGACTTTTAAGACATTGAAATAATGAATGATAAAAATCTGAATTATTTTCTCAGGGTAGTTTTCTATTTATGTCTAAGAACAGAGGATCCAACATAGATTTCCCAAGCTGAGTACAAAAGAGTGCTGGAGTCTGGAATGTGTCAGTTAAAAAAGAAGAGACAGAACCCCTTTAAAAAGACAGCTTTCACCTGTACAGATATCCCCTGGGGTATAGGTCACAATGTCCTAGATTGGGGTGTTTGGCCCTAGAGATTCACTTTCATCTCTTTGTGGTTTTTCTCATAAACACTGTTTCCTGAGAGCGTTGTCAGCAACTCAGCAACAGACTGACGGCCGTTGACCTCAGCTCTCCTGCCGACCTGGGAAAGAAGACTAGCCTGCTCTCTAGCTTCTTTATTCAGTGTCCCCAAATCTGTTTGTGAAAGTTTAGTAGGAGTTCACCAAGGGCAGGCTTTATAGGCCTCTAATTCATAGTCAGCACCATTAGCATCATTTGTTGCGTGACTACAAGTGCTTGGGATTTAGCAACAAATCTTTCCTATGTTGTCTATGGCTTTAAAGTAGGGAATAAATTTGGGTCCCATCTTTTCCTCTGTTACCCAGAGGAAGTCTCTTTTCTGGGTGATGCCTCATTGGTTCCATAAGAATTGCTTTTTGTCATCCTGGGCTGTTATTTAAGCCAGCCTCCATGTGGTTATGAAGTATGAATAACATTGTTCGTGAAGAACATTCCTTAAGCTGTCCAGGGATAAGATCTGCTTTCTTAACTCTTCAGAGGTTTCATTTTCTAGCTGAATTTGAGGTATTCAGATAATATAATATCCCCTTCAGCTTTGTTCCTAGTTTCATTGTCAGTTTGATGCTCAAAATAGTTCTGGACAATAGAAGGGACCGAAATGTTTGTTGTCATTTAATGCATAAAGAAATTTAAAAGTCTTAGTTAATCAGTGCCAGAGCCAAAATCCTAGGTGTCCTGTCTTCCAGATCGTATCTACCACTTTGTTCACAGTGAGTGAATAATAAAAGAGATATAAAAGCCTTTGTAAAGCTAAAGTAAATTTCAGATCTGTGTCTCAGTTGATGTTGGTTCGTTTGGTGCCCTTAGCTTGAGTCTATGACATTCCTGGTTTCAGAAAAACCCCTTTGCTCACCACTGTGACTCACTACCCAGCATAGGCCCAGACACACAGGCCATGCTGAATAAATATTTGCTCAGTGAACAAGTGATTGATTGGTTCTAATCACTAAATTCCTTCTCAATCACTAAGTCCAGAGAACACAGAAGATAGTTTATAGAACAGAACAGTCCTTTTTTGGCATCTTTGGCTATTGTCCACTCATTGTTTTGTTCTACTGTTGCATTTGCTGGGAAAGAAAATACCTCCTTTCTTGCCATGGGAAAGACAAATAACTGTACAAGTCTGGCAGATAACCAAGTCTGTCTGGGCAATAAAGGAGGCAAACCAGTTAGCTATTAACCACTAGACAAGATAATTCAGCTACTTATCAAACTCGAGGCACCTTCCTTTGGAGGCCTTTTCCTGACATTCTCCAGCCCAAAGTGGTAACACAGATTAAGGCTTTGGGCAATCACAGTGTACTCTCGTCCTCCCTCTGCTCCCTCAACTGTATCAGGTGGCAGCAGGTTGTAAGCAACAGCAGGGAGCTTGAAGTGGAAGATGTCATGGACAGGTTGTCTGCAGGTGAAGGGTCAGTTAGCCTGGAAAGAGATTTGGTGGGACGGGATAGGCTTAGGTGGCTTCTATTTTCTGACAATTTAAAATTTATTTTGGTACCATTTAAGGCTTATTCTCCATTGGTGGCCCCTCCAGGCACTGGAGTCCTTATGTTTTATAATTTAGACAAAAACACAACATTGTAAACATATTAAGCTGTTTGAGAAAGACTGAGTAGTGTAAAGAGTGTTAGGGAATGCAGGAATGGGAAATGAGGCAAAAAAGACAGTCTGGGATGATTCCAGGGGTAATGGCCAACAGTTAAAATAAAATGTTTTCCATTTTCTCTCACAAAAGTTGATATCATAATGTAAAATCATAGTTTCAACCTCTTTTTATAAAGTTTAGTATCTCACAAGCATTTCTCTTAGGGTAACTGAAGACTTGCGAACATGGCCTGTCAAAGAGCTAGGAATTAACCTTAATCAAATACTGAATCTTGGACTTCTCAGCCGCCAGAACTTTGAGAAATAAATTTCTGTTGTTTATAAACCAACTTGTGAGTATTCTTAGAGCAGGCTGGATAGATTAAGACATTACCTCACCCCATTCAAACACCATGGGATACATAAGGCCCCACCTCCACCCCAAGTGGATAGCCTAAACGCCCTTCCTTGCTCAAGCTGTAACAAGATACCTCTGCTACTTGGTTTCATGGTTCCCCAAGAGAACCTATTAAGTGACAATAAAGGCTTCCTGCAAGGGTGTCAGTGGAGGCCATGTGCAATGCTGGGTTACCAACCACAAGAGGCAGTAATGGGGCCCCCACTCCTACCTTCCTGCTATGGAGGCCAAGTGGGAAGCCGGAAGTTTCACCACCATTCAGTGGTAAGGCAGCATCTTCTGTCTCCTGCAATATCATTGCACGTCCTGTAAATCGGTAATTACTTCAAAATGAAGTTTTTTGATAATATATACTAAAAACTTTTTTATTTATGGTTATTCTAAGAGACTATATTCTGGGGATATAAAAGGAAGGGGGCATGGGACAGACACAGAGACTGACAGAACATAACTGAGCTAATTTTTAGTTGTCTATCAATTGGTAAATAGTTTGAAGTATTATCTTTCTCTGTGGCATCCAGTTCCCCTCAATGCCAGCAGATCTATATATAACAATATAAGGAGGATAATCAAGGCTCTCAGTATAAAGTCCTAAGAACTAAGGGTAAAAGTGGGAGGTTGCCAGAAATTAGGGCCTATATGAGGATTAGCTGGGGAACTTTTAAAATATTAATTTTCTGAACCTTTTTCAGTATGCAGAGTGCTCTCAGACTGATGGTTTACCTCTCACCGGTCTTCAAGCCTTCAGTCAAGTAAGTGATAAGCCAGACTTGTCTGAAATAGAGAAATTTGATAGGTCAAATTAAAAACTAAAACTGAAGGAAAAAAATACTCTTCATCAAAGGAACCATCCAACAGTGTTCAAATACTATAATTTGGGAATCTCCTTCAACACAAACTGAGAGTGTCTTAGTATGGAGCTTTTGTTAACCTTTGTATTGTCGAGAGTTTGGGCATTTCTGTCTTTATCACCCATATTTCCTGATCAGGAGGTCAGGGATGCCAATGTTCTTTTTTTTTTCTTTTAAAGATTTATTTATGCTTACAGAACTGGGGTACATGTGAGTGTGTATATGGGGGGGGGGTGAGAAGATTACCAGAGACAGAGTGGGGAGCAGAACAGGCAAATTGACAAAGGACACTGCTGAGGGGAGCAGCAAGTGGGTCAGGAGAGGTCTGCCGTGCCATGTGGGTCAGCTCCCTGGCTGGGGATTGAACTCGTGCTGCAGTGGTTTTGGAGAGCTTCATAAAGCGGTGCTTTAACCCATTGTGCACCAGGGAGAGCCCTGTTCTCTTATTTTTGAACTTTCCACTGGATCATAAATTCCAGTGGCAGATACTGTCACTGAGCTCACCATCAATGATCTTTGTGTGTATGGTTCTTGTCTTGAAACACCAAAGGATAAGTGACTTACAACTGTGTACAACGGATGTCTCCATTGCTTCATGATCTTGGTGATTTGCCATGCATTGCAGCTTCCCACTGTTTATTTTCATTTCTAATCTAGCCATCAGGTGATAAAGGTAATCATGATGTTAAGAAAAAATAATAGGAATTCTGAGATGACTCAGAAATGGGCCATTCTGATTGCTTGGATGCTAAAGAAGCATCATTGAGGTGATACGATAGTGGTTCCTACGGGCTCCACTGATTGCTTTGACTGGAGCAGAGTCTAGGTTTTAAGAAACTTGGGTGATAATTCGGGAATTTTCCTGTCTAAATATGTCACCTAGCTCATGTCCTTTCTTTTTGCTCTGGTTAGTACCTTGTTTTTGATGACAGGGTTTGCTTCCCCAGTTTTGACTAATTTTCATAATAAAATGAAGTGCAAGAAAAACCAGGAGTTAAATAAAGTGTGTTGCTCTGATTGCTTTGTGCTTATCACCTCCCACTTATTTGACACCTGCATTTTTAACTGCTTCCTGCTGGAAAGCAAGGCAAGCCAAGAAGGATGGATGGTCTGCTTGGCTCTCTTCATTGAAGTTGTACTCCGGGATCACTAGGATTGCCTCTGACAATGAGGACAAATTGGCTATAAAACCTAGAGTGACATTCAGAGCCACATCATTCAGGCCCTGAGAAGTGACATTTAAGTCCTCTCTGATTTGCTGCCTCCTGAGTAGTAGTAGTTGGAGAAAATAGAACTGTGAATCTGAGGTTGCTGCATGTCAGAAGTAAAAACGATTGGGCTGGACAGATTCCCAGGTTGGCCGAGGGCTTCAGGATGACACGCTGCCCTCAGCTTCCTCAAGAGCAAGAGCCTACACTTTCTCTTTGAAAAATGAGGTGATTGCTTTTAATAGCTTGATAAATTAGGTTCCTGTTTGGTTTTATTTCACTGTCCGAGATCCAAAACTTTTGGTTTCTATATCACCCAAGAGACATTTTGTAAATGTCAGCAGCAAAGTCACCATAAAAATAAACAAGCTGGATCAGAGGGAAGGTGAACTAATATTTACCAAGAGTTTCCTATGTGCTGGGAAGGGTGCAATGTACTTTCTGTGTGCGAAAATGAGCAATGTATTTTCTGTATATTTCTGTCTGTTCCTTATAATAACCCTGTGAGTTAAGTGTTGTGATTAGTACTTTACATATAAATATTAAATATGTGACTTTAACAAAATGTACAGGCCATATAGAAGGGGCACCTGCTCCTCCAGAGATGAAATGGGTGGGGCTGTGTGTTCTTTCTCCTTTAGCAAAAGCAATTGCCCCTTAGGTCATGGCACAGCAGAGACGTTTCCTTAGGCGAGTCAGGTGGACGGAACTAGGGACACTGGATGTGCTGAGTATCTTAGAGGTGGGTTTAGAAAAGAAGCCACAATTGTTTGGAGAGAAAAGTGGGTTCCTAGAACTGAAGGATGATGCCGGATCTGACCAGGCAAGAACAGTTCTCCAAGGGTACTGTGGCGCTACTCAGTAGCTGAGGAGACTTAGCAAAGCTGCCTGAGTTCAGGCTTCCAAAGCTTGGACTTCTGCCACTTTGTCCGAGTAAGAGCCAAATGGATCATTTCCTGAGCTCTTGAAGGCCCTCATAAGGATCCAGACTCAAAATGACAGATAGAATGTCTGGTCTCCTTGAGAAACACCTGATTTGCTCCTTGAATCTAGTTAAATACAAGTGAGGACTCTGAGGCTCAGAGAGCCTTGGTGATTTTCCCAGGGTGCTGCTGCAGTGAATGCTGGGGCAGAGAAAGGACTCCAGGACTGTCTGAGGGTGAAGTCCCTGTGTACTCTCCCCTTTGTTTGTGATCTGTATCCCCGGTACCAAATGGGTGAACATGCAGGGTTCTTTTCTTTTTTTTTTTTCCAATTAAAATCTTGTCTGCTGTTTATATTTTCATCTTGCCTTCTAACAATCTAAGGTCATAGAGAATTGCTTTTAAGGTAAGATACCATTTTAGTTGTTATTAAGTATTTTGTAAATCTCAACCTCACATCATTAAGTTGGAATAAGCAGAAATATTGGGGTTAGTATATGACTTTAGAGCCTTAAGCTGCAATAGCCAGACAGATTTCAGGGTTTAGAGTCACCTCTGTATCTTTGCCTGGAATGTCTGCTGCTTGGCTACTGCCCACCCCTCTGGTTTCCTGTAACTACAAGTGTAGGCAGATCTTTCCAGTTAGTTCCAGTGTCCTTGGAAAGCTAGAAAGTCTTGTAAGTGAAAAATGTGGTTAGAGTTTTAAAGACTTAAGTCGGGTGCGAGACAAGCCCTTGAGACTTATTTGAGCCATGCCTGAAAAAGCCCTTGATTTTTCATCTAAATGAGCTTGTAGTAATAATAGGTTATAGCTGAGTGTTTATTACTTACTGTTTCTTTTTCTTTCTCTTAATCCACATAACGACTCTATGAAATAGTGTTATTTCTGTTTACAAGTGAGGGAACTGAAGCAAAAGAAATACCTAAAAGACATATAGAATGGAAAATCCTACAATAAAATCATAAACTCAGCATCAGATTTTTTGTTGAATAAAAACAATCTGCATGTCCACCAGATAAAAATCTGTGAATTCACACAGAACCTCACAGAATCTAACCTAATGGGCCCTAATTGCATCATTCCAGGTATAAAAGCAAACCTACTGATCACTCCTTCCTGTTATAAAAGTGTTGTGCTGGTCTTGGAGAACACTTGGAAGATATTAAAAAGAGTAAATTCTAAAGTAGAATGTATCTATAGGATTGATAATGAATATTATATTACTTTTGTATAAATTATGAAACCAACTCACATGAAGTTTCATCTGAGAATGAGTAACATGTTGGTAGGCTTGTTAAACAGTATTCTGGGATGGAATTATCCTTTTTGGATAAGGTCCCTTCAGCTTCTGTTAGGTGATCTATCACTTCAAAGCCTAATGTACTCATTTACCTCACAAATATATAGAGTCCCATTATAAAAAGGCAACGCAAGTCAGAATGAGGAATGACGTCAAGGCCAGAGTCTCTGTAATTTGGTAGCTATTGCGGTTGTTTGGGTGGTCTCCTCTCCCTTCTACATAATAGCCCTTTCTCAGGCTATGACCAGTTCCCCAAGAACTATCTTTTTCCTTTTCATAGGCCTGCTGTTTTTCTATCCTTTTAATAGTAAGTCTTGGGACTCTGCTTTAATCTTCCACTAGGCTGCAGAGTGGAACACAATGTCACAATATTTTCAGTTACAGTCAACATCCCAGAGAACCATGATCTCCTCTGATGTGTTTGGCTTTCATGTACTATGAAGAAATGTATACAGACATCCACTGAGACACATGTAAGCAGTGGAAGGAAAGGAGGGAGGAAAGGAAGGAAGGAGAGAGGGAGAACTTCTAAAAGATATAGATGACAAAAAAGGAAAGTTATTCTAGAATCTCAAAGGGAGGTAAAAAATAGCCTTCCTGCGTGTAACTCCAGAAATTCTCAAGGTGAATCACTAATTCATATGAAGACATTGGCAATATTTGTTTTAAAGTGAACACACCATCTGGGAGGGGCTATCTATTAAATAGGCCAAAGTCCCAGTGTATCTAACCCCTAGGGGACAGCGTTGCCTTGAGAAACAGGACAAAGGTCTATAGTTCTTAGCACGGTTGGGGCAATGGCTGAACCCAACCCTGGACAGCACAGGTGTGCTGGCTGTATAGGGAGAAAGAAACCTGCCTTCAAGGAAGAGGGTCCTTGAACAGGGAAACGAAGGATACACAAGCTAAGCTGTTTTCTTTATGGTTTTGCTGAAAAATGGACTCTTGATTCTCAATCAGATTTTCTCTAGAAGGGTCACCTTGTAGCTTCTGATGTGCCACACAGATGCTCCCTTCCATGGATATGCTGCCCTCCTGGGGCTGCTATTGGTAGAGTCTTTGGCTGTCACCCTTCCCCCACTCATTCAGATTTTCCTGGATGCTGAGAATTGCCTTGAACATAATCACGCCCCTCCCAGAGCCCCTCACACACAGTGATGATCCATTGGGGGATGCAGAAGCCTGGCCATCTTGCCTGACTCAGGACAATGCTGAAGGGCATTGGCTAAGACTATCATTGGGCCTTTCGAGCTAGACCGCTCCCTCTCTGCTTAGTCTTGCTTTCTTCTCTTTGCTTTACATGAATTTGCCCTGAGAGTACTTTTGCACAGAACATTCAGGCCTCCTTCTTGGGAACGAAATCTTCAATAGGGCTCAGGTTTCGGAACCATTTTTTAGTAAAGGAGAGGTCAAGGCTCTTGACATTCCTGTAAATGTCTGATGCAGATAAAACCTCTCCTTCAGAGATACTGAGTGGATCAGTCATTCAAAGAGCTGTAGAAGGCTTTAAGAAGGGCCCTGCAAGTGTTCTTTGTCCTCATTCTTTAGAAAAAGCAGATGAACTAGCAGTGCCAGTCCCTAGAAGGAGAGAGGGATGAGCCTGTCTGTTCAAGTCAGCTAGTGATGCTAGCTGGTTCTTAGAATTGTGCAGTGTGATGCTGTCTCCGAAAAGGCACTTCAGATGAAAATAATCCTCAGACTTTCTGACTCATCTCTTCTTCCAGTTTCCTAAAAGCTGAAGCTTTGTCTGAAGATAAGTGGTTTTGATTTGTGTGTACCATCTTCCATACATAAGGCCAAGGATACAAGCTTCCTATTTTCTACACATTTTCTGAAAGGATTAGAGATGCTTACAGTGGGGTCCGAAGGCTCAGGCTGGCCCAGCAGTTCCAGAAGTCCCTGCCTCTCTTGGCTCCAAGACATTGGTTGCTCTTCTAGCAGGCTGTATCACTGGCGAGGGAGCAGCTACTTTTTTCTTTAGAGGGCACTTTATTTTTTCCCCCAGAAAAAAGTTGGCATCACTAGATTTAGACATAATGGAAAATGTTTGTGTGATAAGGGACGGATATAGGAGTTATATCTGGATATAAATTGAATATGAAATACACATCTGGAAGGACACTAGAAATTGAACAATATTGATTTTCCCTCACCTGGATGTTGAGGCAAGGGGTACAGGAAGATTTCTCACTATATAATCTTTATATTTTTTGAATCTTGATGCTGGGGAATATATGTTAAAAATTAACATTTTAAAACTTAAATCTTTTGTCTTATTCAAAACTTCTCCCCCTTTTTCAGGTCTGCAGCTGGGAAGAGTCAAGAGTCCTTTTCACTCCTTTCCCCTTCATTCTTTTGCTCTTGACTTTGCAGGTGCTATCTGTGGCTCATTCCTGATGAGCCATATGCTCTGGGATTCTGGTTCTTTGCAAAATTTTCAGTAATTCCTTTCCTCCTTCCCTGCCTAGGGAGTTTCATCTGCACAATATCCTTATTAGAGTTTTGTGCTCTGGGCTGACCTCTAGTAACTGGCCATGCACCCCCCCCCCCCACCACCACTCCTGTCCCTAGGTAGTTCTCTAAAATCTTTTATGTAAGAGTTCCCTGCATAAAGCTTTCCTTAGGGGAAAGCTCAGCTTTCTTTCCTGATGTCCTTTTACCCATGGGAACATTACACATCTTGCCACATCAAATACTGCTCTGACTGCCAGTGGGGGAGTTCTTCAGGCAAGTCACAGACATTAGTCTTTGTTTAATCTTTTTTTAGGCCTGCCTTCCAAACTCAAGATTATCTGAGTGTTCTTTGACCAGATTGCCTCTAGGGCACTGAAATAGGTTCATGAATTTCTGCACCTCTGTAAGGAGTTTGCTGGGGATTTGATGCCAGTTTTCTTTTTGCAAATCACTCACTTCTACCAACTTATCTGGTGGTAGAAGAAAACATTAAACTGACTCCTCATGACTTAAAATTCCCTCATTTAATGAATTTCAATCTTTTTCTTATTAGAGCAGCCGGGTTGTAAGGGTGAGAATGAAGGTAAATTTGCCCTCCTTTTATCAAAATCTGGAGAGAGGTAGTCTTAGATTTAGAATGTGGAGAGAATTAGAATGAGGAGGTACTCATGGGCCATTGACTAACGATGGTTTTTTGACTTTAGGCAATGTTTTGCACAACTGGTAATGTCCTATTCTACATCTGGTTACATCAGTAAAAATTTCAAAACATCCTAATTTGTGAAGAAAAAAGTTCTCATCTTGAGTAACTATCATTTATTGAATGCTTACAAGGCATTAAAAACTTTACATATTGATGCATTAGTTGCTTACAATACTATTATGAAATAGGGAGTTTCAGCTCCACCTCCTTGAGAAAACCTGAGACTCAGTCACATAAGCAATGGGTAAATAGAAATTTGAATCCAGTTTTGTCTGACTCCAAATTCAATCTCCATATAGAAAAGTGAGTGGTATAGTGAGTGTCTATTGCAATTGTCTCCCCTATGTGATACTAGGTGTATCAAACATTGTGTGTGGATCCCATAAGTAAATATCTATGCTGTTTCTCATAGGTCATTCAGTTCACCAAATAATGAATTCTTTGTACCAGGCATTGTGCTAGGTACTAAAGATACATCAATATGCAAAACAAACTAAAAACCTTGTCTTTGTGGAAATAAAAGTTCATTAAAATTAGACTGCAATTATGTTTTTTGTCATTCATTCACATCATTTTTTGGTCATCGTGCATTTTTACCAATTAAACATAATATAAAATAGAGCTTTTGTCAGGTAACACCTCAGAAGGAATTTTGTTTTTTAGAATGAGTCTTTATGGGCCCTCCCTGTGGCAGGACTGGGAGCAGCACTGCAAACCAGCCACAGCCGCTTCAGTGCTAGTTTGATCCCCAAACCCCAGAGGTGACCCACAGGTGCAGCAGACCTCCCCTGACCTGCCCGCTGCTCCCCTCAGCAGTGTGCAGCAGTGTACTTCGTCAGTCGGCCTGTTCTGCTCCCCACTCTGACTCTGGTGAATCCTCTCACCGCCCCTGCACCTCTGACCTGCATCCCAGTTCTGCATGCATAAATAAATCTTAAAAAAAAAAAAAAAAAAAGTCTGGCTCTCCCTGGTGGCGCAGCGGGTTAAAGCACAGCACTGAGAATCTAAAGCCGCTTCCGCATGAGTTCGATTCCCGCCTGCCCCGGAGGTGACCACATGGCTGGCAGACCTCTCCTGACCTGCCCGCTGCTCCCCTCAGCAATGTACTTCCATGATCTGCCTGTTCTGCTCCCCACTCTGTCTCTGATGAAGCCTCTCACCCTCCGCAACTCTGGCCTGTACCCCAGTTCTGTATGAATAAATAAATAAATCTTAAAAAAAAAAAAGTCTTCATATTGGACCAATTTGGAAACTATTGATATAATTTAAATGATGGCAAGGACACGACCTTTTAGATCAGAAAGGGGTTTTGTGTGTAGCCAAATCCAGCCTTGAACTAAAAATATCTGGGGCATAGAGGAACTATTGGGCAACCTCCTTGGGTAACCCCACTTAACTATCACACAAGTAGGACAAATTATGACTACTTAAATGAATTAGGATTATAACTTTGATGCTAGCGATGAGGAGACTCAGGAGTACGACTAAAGGCAGAGAGATGAATTACTTCATCTCTTGCTTACCCTTTTACCCCTGGGTCCTGTGAGGTTCCTTTCAACGCTCTCATAGGGGGGCTGAATGGTGTGCCCCGACGGGCAGTCACTTTTAGCCTAATAACTGCAGTTCTCCAGGATCACCAGGGAAGAGGCTTTACTCACTTAGTGCCAGTCACAGGCTGCCTGACAGCTTGCTTAACCAGAAGATCCCTGTTCAAATAAATTGAGTCAGTAAGGTAGTTTTCGGACTTTCTCGTCACATCCTTCCCTTTACTGAACACTAGTGTGCGTTCGGATTCATTACCACCCGGTAATCCTCCCGGATCCTTAAAGGGGCAGGCGCTGAGAATTCGCTATATGCCGGGTGAGGAAAATGAAGGTACAGACTGGCCTCGCGACACACAGAGCTCTGTTTCCTCACTCCTTTGACCACTTCATCACCTGGGCTCGACTTCCCTTTTCCGTCAACGCTCCCCTTTTCGGTTCCCACTGAAAGCTACAAACAAGTCATGGCCCTAAAACTACATTTCCCAAAATGCAACGCATCGGCTTGCCGTGCCGGAGCTTTCCCTAAGTTGCCGTTGTAAATAATGTTGAGTCAAATCCACATTTTAGGGGACAAGCTGAGTTATTATCCATTTATTCGTCATTATACCCCTTTTACCCGACCTTCTACCGCTCGTGTTTGGAGAGATGCCTCTAACTAAGGAAATTCATTCAGGCGACTGCTCTGGACACCCGCTTCTCCCGCGTGTCTCGGCCCCTGCCAGGTCCCCGGGGGGCCTGGGAGTGTCATTGGTGGATGACCGCAGCTCTGGCTTCTGCCGTCGCGACCATGGCCTCAAGCAGCAGCGGCATCGCAGCCGCCCGCCTCCTGTCACGCTCCTTTCTCCGTGAGTCCAGCCCGGACTGTCTCCTCCCGGCCTCCGCGAGTTCCTGGGCCCGCTGGACCGGCAATTCTGGTCCTAGCCAGGGCTGTGCCGTCCAGGGCGGAACTTAGGCTGGGGCCCGGGAGCGGCGAGAGTCTGCTTCTTAGTGGGGGACTCTGGGTTGGTGGGAGCTTTGCTGGTTGTGCGGGGCGGGTAGAACTTAGATTGTTCCTATTTGGGAGCTAGAGGATGAACGCAGCTGGTGAGGAGCTAGGGTCAGGGTGTGCCCGTAGGAAATCGGTGTAAGGCTGTCCTTTATGCAGACAGGCCTTCCACTTGTAATTGTGCTTTCTTGTAGATTGTGGGGTCGGCAGAAAGGTGGGCTCTGTACTCAGAATCAGCATAACCCAGAAGATTCCTAGGAGCATACGGCTGACTGGGACTTTAACCAACTTACTTGCAGTGTCTCCACCAGGCGGTGGGATCCCCTCAGTTCTCTAAAGCAGGATACACAAGGTTGCTTGTCTTTGAATAACGCTGACTTGAAAATTTTCACTATGTTCAAAGTCTCAGTGTTTGTTAGGCAGGTAATGTAGGAAGAGACTTTGGAATCAGCTGCATCAGGGTTTGAAGTCTGACTCCACAAGTACAGTTCTGTGTGATAACCTTGGACACTTTTCTAAATCTATTTCTGCTTGTTTTAAATGTCATGAAAATAATATGATGCTGTAAAGAACCTGAGATACCATAACTTGTAAGCTGCACCATTATTTCTTCTACCATTAACAATGGAAAATGATTGCTGATTAAAATTGTGATACACCAGTGGTTGCCGGTAGTACAGGATGACCTGAGTTGAGTTTCCTGTGCAGAATTAGTGAAGCAAATCATGTAAAGTACCTGGGATGTAATAGATACTTAGCTTCGTTTTCCATTTTACTGCTTTTCCTGAACATTGATGAGATTTAACTCATTTCTTGAGAATATTAAGTCCTGAAAATGTGCAATGTGGAGACCCTCAATAGTAACATTTAGATACTAAGTCACATGATGACAAACATCTGGTTTTGGTAGCTGGGAAGAACTGGTTTATTTGGGAAAGCTTTCTGGAGGCTCTTCTTGTGCAATATAAATGACAATTGAGGCTGTTGTGGGCCAAAAGAAAAAAAGGGCTAGTTATGCACATCTCTTTCTCACCTGGGGTCTTGCTATTCTGAATTTCTGAAAAATCCTAACATGGATTGGGCTGCTATCTTAGGGGAAAGAGAGTGTAGGGAACAAAGGAAGATTGTTTAAAAGATTAGGATTCTTAATCCACCCTTTGCAATATTTAACAATACTCTTTTCACAGAACTGGCAGTTATTATTTCCTAGATTCTCAGTATCAAGAGGCTGTAAGAAACCACCAATTTTTGCTTTCTATTCCTGAACTAGTCTTTAATTATAATAGACATGTGATTACTTTTATAAGGATCTGAGAGATCTTAGATCCAACCCAAAGTATACCCTATATTAAGTGGTTATAGACTGCAGTGTTTTAATACCTTTAAAAAGACAAACTTTCTGATTCCCCAGATCTTTTTCCTTCCCATGACACATTTCTAAGTCCATTTACACTCGCACTGGAAAACAACAACTGTAACAATATCACCTTGCAAACATTTTTTTAAAGGTGGCCACAAAGTATTTAGGCTCTGAGTTTAATTTAGAACTAGAAATGCTAGAAATTTTATTCTATTTCCTTTAGTTTCAGTTGCTAGTACATTTTGTGTTGAGGGGCATAAGTGTTGACAATATTGATTTCAGTTAGTAAAAAAAAAAAATACAAACACTTGTAAATGCCTTCTAGAGCTCTTGGCACTGCTGGGGGGGTGGGTGGCTTAGAATGTTTAGAAATTACTGAACCAAAACAAAAACACAGTTCAGTAAAAACAGATTTATAGCTTATTAAAAAGAGGGAAAGAATCCAGTTGAAACTGGGAGAGAAAATGAAAACTCAAAAAGAGTTCACCCTTGAGAAAGTTTAAGGATTTTATAAGCACCTTTGAAGTCTTTAAGTGGTCAAGTTTTTCAAGAAGTTGGGCTGTTTAGAATAAATAGGGAAAAAGAGGCAGTGTATTTGAACCTCAAAATTATGGTTTTTAATGCCAGAAAGTGAATCCTAAAATGTAGCTGATCCCATACCTTTGTTTGGCATGTGAGGAAATAAACCCAGATGTTTCCTAGCCACTATCAGAATGAGTTCTGGGACTCAGGTCTTCTGACTGCATAGTGCCTTTCCTTTAGTCCATGCTTTGTGGTACTTTGAGCCTCCTTTTATGACTCTCTCTCTCTCTTTTTTTTTTTTTTTTTTTGTATTTTCACTGTTTTGTTGAGGTGCCACCTGCCCTAACTAAGTTGTTTAGGCCTGTTTTTGGAATTGGAGAAGTATTTAGAATTGTGGTTTAGGAACAGAGCCCTTGAGAGTGAATTGTTTTTGGTGTTTGTATCTGCTGACATTTTATCTAAGTATCAAATCGTTATTTAGAAAAGCAGAATAGTTTTGTTTTAAATATATCAGTGTAGCCATGAGAAATGGCTTTCTGACCTCAGATTTCATTCTTTCATAGAAACATAATTGGGGGTGGTGAAAATAATTCACCACCCCCAATTATGACTTCATTTCATCAAGGGACAGGTACTTTGTTGCTATAGGCCTTTTTTTTTTTTTTTTAAAGGTTTGTTTATTTATGCTTACAGAACTGGGGTACAGGCCACAGGTATAGTGGGTGAGAGGATTCACCAGAGACAGAGTGGGGAGCAGAATAGGCAGACTGACAAAGGGGAGCAGTGGGCAGACCAGGAGAGAGATGCGGCTTCATGTGGGTCAGCTCCCTGACCTGGAATTGAATTTGGGCTGCAGTGACTTACTTCGTAGAGCTTCATAATGTGATGCTTTAACCCACTGCGCCACCAGGGAGGGCCCCTGCCTTTTTTTTTTTTTTAAGATTTTATTTATTTATGCATACACAACTGGGGTACTGGCCAGAAGTGCAGGGGTGGTGGGAAGATTCACTAGACAGAGTGGGAGGAGAAAAGGCCCACTGATGAAGTACACTAGAGAGGGGAGCAGCTGGCGGGTCAGGAGAGGCCTGCTGCACCATGTGGGTCACCTCCGGGGCAGGCAGAGATCAAACTCATGTGGAAGTGGCTTGAGCTTCTTAGTGCTGTGCTTTAACCCACAGAGTCACCAGGGAGGGTCCTGCCTTTTATTTTTAAGAGAACATTTCTAAAATTGGGATGAGTCTTATAAATTGATGGTATCATATAATAAACTGGCCACAGTTTTTCTTTTTGATACTTACTAGTACTTCTTAAAATAAAACATTTTACATTTGATGGTGTATGGTACTTAAAACTGAGCTTCATTTGTAAGTAAATATTAACTATATAATTTTGTATTTGAATAGTGGGTTGTTGACAGTTGGGCTTAAGCAGCTGCTGAGTTACCCATAGATAGGAACTGAAAAATCTATTACATTTACCTAATACAAATGACTGATAAGTATACATTTGTTAAATTCACAAATACAAATAGGAGTAAATGAAAAACAAAAAGATATATTATTGTTTGAGAGGTAAATTGTTGGAGTGTTCTTATGAATGGAGGCTCTGGTTATTTGTTCGAAGGCCATGGCGTGAGTCCCTTCTAGGCAGTTGCTCTATGGTCACAGTTTATATCATTAATCTCACAGCCGTGTTAGAAATGATTTGGTCACTGCTCTGTGAATAAGACCACCCACTACGTGGCTGATGGATACAAATTTATGTGCCCTGTTGAAAGCACATCTCTCTGAAATTACTCAATCCCTTTCCTTCATAGTTGTTATTACAGTTCATGCTTTCGTAGTTTTTTCTTTCTATGTTTGATATTTAGCTGCCTGATGGGCAGGAAGCTGCGTGTAAGTAGGGCCCGAATCCATGTTATTGCCCTAAGTCCCTGTGACCTGACAGGTAGCCTGGCACAGTGAAACTTCTCAGAGACGTTCAGTCTTCTCATTTTATACCAGTAATAATAATGATAATTAGTAGCTAATAGTTAAATAGCACTGATCATTCTATGTGTCCTACATATTATTTACTCATTTAATTATATACTCATTTAATTCTCACATTGCCTATGAGGTACATTGTATTATTTTATCACCATTTTTAAAGTGACTCTGCACCCTTACAAATTTCTCACATTTAAAAATTTACACATATATATGTGCATACTACACATTATATATAGACATGACAGTGCATTTTACAAATAAACTTATGAGGGTGTGCATGAGAACATATATAAAACATTTGTAGTTGGACTCAATTGATTTTAAAATCTGAATAGTATGTTCTCTTTTTTGGAAATATTTAACCTTTTTGCTCATGTAGGAGTTTGGGAGTTTACCTGGCACTTTGCTACCTACTTTATAGGCATCATCTCATAACATCACTACTACCTCCTGTGCTTCTGTTACTCTATTTACACATGAGAAGACTGAGTCTAAGGGAGACCAGAAGACCTGTCCCAAGTCATATGATTGATGAATAGCAAAGCATAAACTGAAATTCATAGGACTGGTGAACAGCAAAGCATAAGGTCTCTCTTATTCCTGGTACTGTGTTCTCAGCTGTTCCTGGACACTATACCAAGAGAGAATGCACAGAAGTCCAGTTGTGGACAATTGAAGTGGGACTTAATGACCTAAAGAGCAGGGGACTCGCCATGTTCCCTGAAGATAGCCCGCCGAGTGGCAGCATTTGTCACTGGGAATTTCTCCATGGTGGCTACCTTCAGGCCTTCCTGCTGTCCTAATGTTTAATTTAAAATACTCATTTAAAAAATACTAGTAAAGTTAGAGATCATATGTTGACTTACCACTTGTGTTTCTCGCTTAATGCTCTATACATTTTTTATGTTGTTTAGGTTAATTCCCCATCTGTTACATGCTATGAAAACATTCTCCTTATTTTGTTAATTTAACTCTGTCTATGGTGTGCTTTGTTCTAAGTTCTTTTTTCATGTAATAAAGTAGTCCATTGTACTATATTTGTTCTTTCATTTGATTTGTTAAAAAAAGTTAGCATGCTATGTGGTATTTGTGCTAGATTGATAGAGCTTTGAGGACCAGTTATGCCTTTAGACTGCTGTGTATTGTCTCTGAATTTTAAGGAAACCTGTAATTTTTACATCTACAGGAATAGGTCGAGGCTTTCTCTACAAGTGAGTTTGAGATTGACATTTTTCGATGTGCACACAAAGAGTTGGTACTGATGGCATTTAGCTTAACATGACTATTTCTCCTATAGACTTTGATCTATAGGAGTCTTGAAATTCAGTAAAACATTTCCTATATATTTACTCTGTAAGGCACTGTGCTACACACTGTGGGAGAAATCAGATCTAAGATATAATCATTATGCTCATGGTATGTACAGTTGTAAGTTCTAGAAATGTTTAAATGACCTCTGAAATAATTTTCAGATAAATTTAACCTTAAGTGATTTTACAGATATAAAGTAGTAAAAAAATAATAAAATGTGTGTGCCCAGCCTCATACAGTGTGTTGTGTTTGTTATATACCACATGTGAATGAATTTGCAAGTTCTACTTAAATCTCAGATTCCCTACTTCCGCCCTTCTACCCACAAGAATATTATGAATATATGGGAAGATTTAAGGATTCCTAAACTTTACAGTGTTTCATTTGAATCTGAACTTATGAATTAATGCAAGAAAAATTCTCAGTAAGTTGATTATATTGATTCTAATCAGATTATATTGACTCTCTGAACCGGGAGCTGTGGGTTTCCTCTTACAAAACCTCCCATGGCTGGCTGATCCCTGATGTACTGATGCAGGTTTCAGTTTGGATGGCATGGGGCCAACCAAGTTGGTAGTGGGAATTAGGAGGATGGTGGAGATAAAGAGAGCTTTTAGCTGAATAGAGGTTACAACTATGACCAAGAAACAGACAAACCTCTCCTTCATTTAAGAAGTTACAGGTTGAGTATTGGGATTACAGGAGTGTGCTTGATAGCCCAGGATTCAGTGTAGACTTAATGCCAGTGTAAAATCCATTCTGTAACCCTACCTTTGCTACCTGCTCCTGCCAGCCCTGACCTTGCCCACCACCCCCATCTTACCTTGGGATTGGATAGTGAGTCTGTCTACACTGTTGTCTAAGTCTTAATGTTACCACAGTACTTGGCATGCTGTGCAGTCACAGGTTGGTCACAGTCACATTGGTCAAGATAGTTTGTGAATTCTTTGAGGACTGATGCTCTCTTATTCAATACTATTTACATAAGCATTTAGCATTGTGATTTTGTCTAGGGACTCCCTAAATGTTAAATAAGTGCATGATCACGACAACCCCAGGAACTAGGATATGTGCTGATTCTGGCATCCTCTCATTTCAGTACCAGTGATACTTGGCCTCATACTGTATTCTTGTCAAGACAGGATGAGATCAGGAATTTAATTTCTTAGCTGAACATATATTTTTTGGGTTGACTCAAAAGTCATGATAGTCAGTTAGTTTTAACTTAACCCGAAATGAGGTCTATAAAGGCCTGGGACTAGTGACTAGATGGAGAGAGCCATGCACACATGTTCACACATATGCATGATAAATCTCTCAAGATCTTTTCCACTAGATGCTGTAGAAGGTCAGGATATTGTATAAACTGAGCAACACCAAAGGGTTAGGAAGTGAACTGGTATTCATCATATTTCTGATGCACTTTCTATGAACATCAAAGCTCCTGAGTTATGATGTTATAGTTATTCTAGAAGAAATGGTGTAGGAATAGCTGAAAATCTTAGTTGACAAGTTGGCAATCTTTTTTCTAGTAGGCCATACTTTCTGAACCTAGGCAAAATCATCCTTTCTCAGGGATGCACTTGTGGAAGGAGAAAGGAACTGTCTGATGCCTCTTTTAAAATAGTGAGTATAAGAATAGTTGTGGAGGGACCACACTTTTCCTTCAAAAAATACCCAGGTATTTCTTATAGTGAATATTGGTTCTAGATATCAGATCTTGTTATCTGATTTTATAATCAAATCTACTTTTCTGTCTGAAAAATTCCTGATGATGGACCACCATTTACTGAAGATTCTAGAAATGGGAGGGACTGGTGGAGCAGATTCTGTTGGAAATAGCAGCAGAGAAGAAAAGGGTGTGTGTCTCTTCCTTATGTATTATGGTTGTAGCATTCTAGCTGGGAGAACTGGGAGCCAAGGCAAATATGGTCCTTGAGTTATAGCACTGGTTTGAGTGGCTGTCAGGCCACAGATTCCAATTGTGTTTGCTGGTCCAGGTTCAGTGTTCCGCATAGATGTGCCAGGACTTGATACTAAAGGCTCCCTCTTAGCCCGTTCAGCATATTCTAGTCCAGGAATGCAGCTGTCTGTTACTCCCCAACTGTGTGCAAGCAGAACAGTCTCTCCCATTGGTAAGGGTGAAATCTGCGTCTGTCTCTTCCCTGGAGGTACAAGGGATTCCAAAATTAAAAGTCCTTAGAAGTTAAGGTGAGTAACTGAGTTGAAGACAACTTAAAGGGTACTTAAGGGATGGAAGTGGATGAGACACAAAACCTGAGGTCTGTATTTAGGAGGGCATCTAGTGGTGATTCAAGGCAGAAAGTATGGAATAGATCCTGGGCAAATCCGTAACAACATTTTTTTTTTTTGGTCCTTTTCTGGGGCTAGCTTTCATGGACTATCACTAGTGGTAGTGGAAGTCCCAGTACTTTGAAAGGGTCCGGGAAGGGCCATAGAGACAGCAGTTTGGGATTTAACGAGGGTTTAGAAGGTTGCCAGAAAATAGTCACAATTTTAATTCATCTGTGCTCTGCTTTCTACTGACTTGAAATACACACAGCTGGCTTTAGGAACGACTTAGATTCCTCAGTTTTATTGAGGTAGGTTGCTGAAAATAAATTAGATGTTTTTGCTTATTTCTCTCTCATATACTTTAACTTATTTTATTTTCCTTATTACTTTTCTATGTGAGGTCTTGAGTCTTACATCAGAAGAGAGCAAATTAAGTAACTTTGGCTTATATTTTAGTCACATTTAATGTTAACACTAAGTGAGTTGTAGAGTGTTCTTATGTGATAAGGTTTGCCTCTTAGCAAACTTAATTGATTATAAATGTATATGTTAGGTTTAAAGAGGTTGGGTCAAATGGGGCAACCACGTGACTAGCACTCTTAGTAGGACTGATTCCTGGTTTTTAGTCCCTGGATTAAATTTGAAGCATGTGTCTTTGAGCCTAGCCCCACTTTTTCCCCAGAGGAATGAAAATTACAAACTTAAGGTTTTTTCTCTCAATTCAGAAAAAAATACAAGATTGTGCTTCTGGGTAAAGAGGAGATCCTGAAGCTAGAACAGTGTCTTTTGTTTGTTTTCTTAAATTTATTTTTACAGTAAGTATGTCTCATTTAAAAAGTGACCTTTAAAGTTGCTATGATCAGAAGAGAGCTCATGTATTAGAGGATATTTTTATTGTTGCTAAGTTTAATTATCGTCCAAAAATTCAGAAAAATTATAACATGTCATATTTTCTTTACTTCTCAGTGCAACAGAATGGAATTCGGCATTGTTCCTATACAGCGTCTCGGAAACATCTCTATATCAATAAGAACACGAAGGTTATTTGCCAGGGTTTCACTGGTAAACAGGTAGGTTTTCAAGCTTTTTTTGAAGGATATATGTATGTTTAGGTTTGTTAAACATACAAAAAAATTGAACTATTTTCTATTTCACAAAAGTTTTAATACATTTTTGCAGCAAAGTACATGGTATTTTAAGAGAGTTGTATCAGGTTAAGTGCTATATGAGCCTAGAAGATGAAAATTAGGATTAAACGTACCTGAAAAATCTTTCCCTAGGCATCTGTTGTGTTGAGAATCAACCTATTCTCTTTTAAGCACTACTGGTTTCTTCCAGCATTGGAACCGATCACTGTTTCTTTAGTTAGGAAACCAGTAAAATAGATAGCTTATGTTTAGGTCTTGTACAAAAAAAAATCACAGTAAGCAGGAATGTAGATTCAGTGTGTGGAAGTGCTCATGCCCAGAGAGGCTCATCCGGGCTGAGACAGGCGGGACGCTGCACACTGGCTTTGCTCCCCTTCCTCTCTGGGCAGGTGGTCTTTCAAGGGACAGCAGGCAAAGTTGCCTGAAATATTTAAATTTGCTCTCCTTCATTTACATTCATTCTCTCTCCTTTACCTATGTCATAGAATTTGAATAGTTTATCTGTGATGTAATCACACTATAATGCAATATAATTTCCTCCCCTTTTCTACTCTTCTACTTCCCTGGGGATTCTTCTGTTAGCAAGTTGACTTGTTTCCTACTTGGCGTTTTTCTTACTCTAGAAATTTTTCTTACTCAAACAAACTTATTTATACTTACATACTGTGCATAATAGTGTCTAGTATACCAAAATAATGTCATATAATATATATCATGTATGTTTGTGTCTATAAAATAGATTTTTGAATGTAAAATTGGGTGTCATAGGTTCATTTAAATTTCTTTCACTTCCCCTTACTTCACAAAGGAAGGGGAAAAGAAAACCAATAAATTTTAGTCTTATGTTTCTTTCCAAAGACACTAAAACTAGTTATTTTCCTTTCCATCCCTTTTAATTGTAACTTTATTCTGATTATATAATATAGGCTAGCTTGATGATTTCTTTTAAAGATTTAATCATTTATGCATATAGAACTGCGGTATAGGCTAGAGGTGTGGGGTGGTGAGAGGATTCACCAGAGACAGATTGGGGAACAGAACAGGCCAACTGTCAAAGTACACTGCTGAGTGGAGAAGCGGGTGGGTCAGGAGAGGTCTTTGGTGCCATGTGGATCACCTCCAGGGCCAGGGATCGAACTCATGCGGAAGTGGCGTTAGCTTTTTAGTGCTGTGCTTTAACCCGCTGCGCCACCAGGGAGGGCTAGCTTGATGATTTTTTAAAAAACATCTAGACCTTTTAAAAAAGATTAAACAACCTGGCTAGCACAGAGATATTAAATATGTAATTTCTTTGCTTCAAACAAGCTGATATCTCAGCATAATACCACTGTATATAATATATACAACATACATATGCTCACAAAGCAGGAATAGATTTGAAAAACATGATATTCATATTGATTACATGTTTATTTAAAAATTTAAAGGCTACTGTTAAGTTACCTTTTAAAACTTTTGTACAGATTTATGTTTTACTACAGTTTTTTTTAACTTTTTCACTTTTGTTATTCATTAGATACCGTGTGTGTGTGTGTGTGTGTGTGTGTGTGTGTGTGGCTAAAGGTTACCTTTATGCTTTCCAGCTTGTCTCTTCTTACAAGTCTTATATTTTGTCCCTCAGGGCACCTTTCATAGCCAGCAGGCCCTGGATTATGGTACCCAAATAGTTGGAGGAATCAGTCCAGGAAAAGGAGGCAAGACACATTTGGGCTTACCAGTGTTTAATTCTGTGAAGGAGGTAAGTAATAGTACTGAGTGTGGTAGCAAGAAAACAAAAAGAGTGGGGAAGAGTGAGTAAACTTTGGGTAGGCATCTTAATTGTGTCCCTTTAGGAAGGGTCACTGGATATTTTAAAATTTCTGTCACAGTAAAATTTCTGTCACAGTAAAATTCAGTGGAGTTACTTTAGTCACATAGGCTCAGGATATTTTTTCCACAACCTGTGTGATTTTTGCTTATAGGCAGACATCAGCTTTTTAGGGAAGAAGTGCTGTGGCTTGTGGCTTGGCTTCTTCTTGGCTTATTATCCTTTCTTCTCAGTTGATAGTGTATAGGTCAGCATTTGGCATTTTTCTTACTCTAGGAATTTTTCTAATACATACTGAAAATGAGCTGTTTTCCAGGCATTGTGTTAGCTTCCAGACATGCATTGTTTAGGCTTAGTACAACTTTCTGAGGTAGAGGCTGTTAACACCTCCATTTTATTTTATTTTTTAAAGATTATTTATGCATACAGAACTGGGGTACAAGCCAGAGGTGCAGGGGTGGTGAGAGGATTCACCAGAGACAGAGCGGGGAGCAGAACAGGCAGAAGTATACTGCTGAGGGGAGCAGCAGGTGGGTCAGAAGAGGTCTGCTGCGCCATGTGGATCTCCTCCAGGCTGGGGAATCGAACTGGCACTGAAGTGGCTACGGCTAGCTTGCAATGTTGCGTCCTAACCTGTTGTGCCACCAGGGAGGGCCCAACACCCCCGTTTTAAAGGATTTCACTGGCACAGAAAGGTTGAGGGTACTGTCTAGTCGCTCAACTGGTAAGTGTAGCCTTGGCGTGGCCCAGAGTAAATACCTTTGTGTTCCTCTGTGAAGACTGCTAGGGTGTGATTGTCCAGTCAGAGATTCTTTTTCTTCTTCCCTGATGAATTCTTAATACTTTAAAAATGAATTTTAAATTAAACTTTAATTCTTTGTCAAAAACTAATAGTGTGTATTATACAAATTCAGGTGATAGGTATGAAAGTACTTTAAAATTTAGTTTTACAGTGTTTTCTACATCTCAGTTTTTCCTTTCAGAGCTCATTTAAGTTCAGTGTATATTCTCTTATTATCGCTTTATAGTTATATGACTATATACAAAAATAGTGCTTTAAAAGAAATATACAAATTCTTGATTATTAATTTAAAGTAAGAAATAAATGTAGTGTTTAGGACTGATGATAAAAAAATAAATACTTAACACTTCTTACCCTTCCCTCTCACCACTTGAAGGATACTTTTAAGGCATATTTGAAAGTGTTGCTTTTTTTAAGGTACAAATTTATAGACTTAATCAGAACACTAACTTCAGGTTAATTTATACTATCCTCAGGTGTGGGGGAAAAAAAGACATACCCATATTTGGATTTTTCTTTTTACTTTAAACTTGAAAATAAATTATGTATTCTATGTATCTGTATGTGTGTTTGAAATGTACCTTATTTTAAAGAGTAAGAAATATAAGTCACAAATCATACTCTGGAAGGATTATTTAAATTCATTTTGCTTTAAATTTTTGTTCCTCCCCCCCTTAAATTCTGTTATGACTGATTTCATGATCTCAAAGTATAGAGAGGAGCTGTTTTCATAATTTTAGGCAGATTTGATTTTTATAATGAACTTACCTGTTTTTTTTGGTAAAGAAAGTTTTTGTTGCTAAGAGGTGCATTTATTATTCACCATAATACACACAGATAGCTACTATTTGCCTCACCAAATTAACTCTTCAGAGAACTTTCTGAGTGAGGAGGATAGCTACCTTCCACCCAGCATTAGGTTGCCAGCACAGACCCTGTAGGTCCAGTTTCTAACAATTTTCAAACTTATGAGGTAGAGAATTATGGGATGCATTTCCATAAAATGCCTACATGCCTCTCTTTTGTTATTTACATTGTTTTCATTTCTTTCATTTTCTCTGTTATTATTGAACAGAGTTTTTAAAAATTATTTTTAACCCTTGATATCATTTGTGGGTGATCTGCTGGCATCTCTTGGTATTCTTTTGTTACTGTCAGAAACAGGGATGCAGTAAGAAAACTTCCTCTGGAGATGTGGGGAATCATTCAAGAGTGAGTCCCAAAGACACTGTCTTTTACTTCTCTCTGTTCTGATTGTATTTGTATGTTCTATAGCTCAGTATTTTTATCCATTGCAAAATCTCATGGCATAGCCTTCCAAAAAAGGTTTTGCTTTGTATCTTGATTAAATTACCTTTTAACATTTACAGGGTGCCAGGCTGTTATCACTAAAACGAGCAGACACTTCTGAATAAGATATCCCTATGTTTGCATCTTGATTCTACCACTTCCTAGCTATGTAATCTCCTAAAAGTCATTTAGTAATTCTTGGCCTCAACATCATGATTTATTCATGGGGTTACTAAGCATGCACTGTCATGGTGAAGCCGTGACTGAACTCTCTTGCAGAATGGATGCTGCTACTCTTTGAGAATTAGTGATCACTGACAATCTCTACCTTCAATCTCTTCTTTACAGTAGAAGAGACATGGTCACATGTAAAAGTGGGAAAAAAGATACATCTTTATAGGTGGAGAGTAAGTAAAGAACAAATGCAGGCTTGATCCACAGACAGAAAAATGTTCAAATGACGATGTTTAAGTGCCTTGCATTGTGAGAAGCCATAAAGAATACTGAGTAAAACTTAATGTTTGACTTATTCTGGGCATTTAATGCATGTATTTTTTTAGTTTATTTCTAATAAAGGAGCATTTAAAGTAAAAATTGTCCATTAAAAGAAAATGCTTTGATTTTCTTGTCTCTAGGTAATATTTATCAAGTATGATAATACTTTTAAACAGGTGATTGAGATTGAAGTTCTGAGGTTCAGGGGCTCACTAGTCCTTTTTCTCCTGGGAGGTATAGGGTCTTTGGTACTGAATAGATGATACAGTGTCTTTTAGAACAAAATAAATACAACACAGCCATGGGAACTATGGGGCACAAACACAAAATCAGGCTGTGCTTTGAGATTTACTGACATGCCATTGCATGAGGGAATGGGATGTCACAGAAATTCGATTCAGAGGGACGTTCTGAAGGGACAGAGAAAGGCCTTGCTATATTTTGTTGTTTTCTGATAGCTTCATTCTTAATGCGAAGAGTGAAGGCATCCACTATCTATTGGTAATGTCCTTTCCTGACCCTAGACATTAAAATCGTGATATTGAAAATGTTTATGACTTAACCAATAATAAAGTGCTTCATGGTTAATGTTTCAGGCCAAAGAACAGACAGGAGCAACAGCTACTGTCATTTATGTCCCTCCTCCTTTTGCTGCTGCTGCCATCAATGAAGCCATTGAGGCAGAAATGCCCTTGGTGGTGTGCATTACCGAAGGGATCCCACAGCAGGACATGGTACGAGTCAAGCACAAACTGCTGCGCCAGGGAAAGACAAGACTGATTGGGCCAAACTGCCCTGGGATCATCAATGTGAGTGTAAATAATAAAGTTAAGCCTCTCATAGACCGCCTAAGTTTGGGTCAATCCAAATGTACTTTTGTATAAGATCTTTGAGTTATAAATTTTTTGCCTTTTCTGAAGCTGTGATTTACTTTTCTTCAGCCTGGAGAATGCAAAATTGGTATCATGCCTGGCCATATTCACAAGAAAGGTAGAATTGGTGAGTGTTTTTCTTATGGATTAAAAAATATTTTCTTTCAGAAAAGGAAAAATACTGGATGGTTTCACTCATAGGAGGAGTATAAAAGACCAAGGGAGAAAATAATAATAATAATGAACAATTATATACCAGAGACATTTTATGAGGGTGGAGTGGGGAATAGGATAAAAAATGGGGGTGGGGAAAGTGCACTGGACTGTGGTGATGATACACTATGGTGATGATGGGAAGCCCATGGGGATTACAGCTGAGATGGGAAAAGGCACAAAATGAAGTAAAAATAAACTATTATGTTATTTTAAAAAATACTTTCTCTAAGCTCAAAACAAAGAATCTGTGATTGTGCAAATCAAATTTAGCAATGAATTTTTTAAAAAATTGAGGTCATATGTATTCGCAACACTGTATGTGATTTGGAGGTCTAGGACCACCTGTTTAGATAGATGTCACCATACCGCTCCGCTGTGAAGTGCCTGCGAGTCCTCCTCTGTCCGTTGTTTACCCTCCACGCTTTGCTTCCAGGTCTTCCCTTCCACCACTGGTAGGCTCAATTCTATACTCAGATTTTTAGGGTTGGTTATTTTTTTGGTTTCCTTTGATTCTAGGGTTTGTTTCTCTGTATTCTGGTATTTGTCTTTTTCCTTCTGATTTATTTTGCTTAGTATCATCCCTTCCAGTTTCATCCACGTTGTTGCAAATGGCAATGGTTTGTCTTTTTTATAGCTCCGTGGAATCCCACTGTAAGTGGAATCTTAATCTACTGTTCTGCCAGTGTGCAGCTGTAATTTGGCTAGTGAAAATAATGCTTTAGTGAACATAAGAGTGAATGTATCCTTTCAAGTTAGTGATTTTGTCTTCTTTGAGTAGGTATCTAGTAATGGAATTGCTGGATTATGGTAGATATATTTTGAGAAACCTCCATACTTAACCCCAAAGTAAGCTTGGCTTATTCTCGTTTTCTTTGGATTAGCTTTGAAGTTTACATTTTGTTTGAAAATTATTAGAAAAATAGTTGTGAGGAAGGAAGTTAGGTAGCAAATGTCCTGAATGCTGGTATTGTAGGCTAAAGGTTTTAGTGGTCTAATAGTTGTCAGTCTAATCCAGTATGTTCTGCCATGCTAAACCGGGTCTTAGACAAGGTGACTTAGATCTTTGTTGCACAACCTTTATGGATATAAAATAAACCTCATTAATAGCCCTCTTTTCTATCTTTAACTATTAAAACCTCCTCTGATTTAAAAGTTTTCTTATTTCATCATTTGAAAGTTATCTGGACAACAAATTGTGGGGATAGATTTTATGTATATTTGTTTTGGTAATTTAGTTTTCCACATGCTAGTCTATAATATAAACACAAACTAAACTATTAAATTTGTCTTCTTTTAAGGTATCGTGTCCAGATCTGGCACCCTGACTTACGAAGCAGTCCACCAAACAACACAAGTTGGATTGGGGCAGACTTTGTGTGTTGGTGAGGGACTTTTGCTAAGTCTGGTAGAATGTGGTATCTTCATTGAAAGAGTATCATTATCGTTAGTATTGTTTTGGCTGTTTGCAATGGGTTTTGATGCCATTTTATTTAAAAGATATTATGATTTCAACTTTAACTTACTTAAATGTGAATTTTTATGTATTTCTAAGTTTCATGCTCCAAGGCTTAACTTTCATGTTGAGGAACAAGCATCCTCAGATATGTGGGTCCAGAGAGCCTTGTTGCCTAAAAATACCCCTTATTTTGCTTGCTCTGAAGAAATGGTTCTTCATATTAAGGCTTTTATTATTATAATTACCATTTTTTAAAAAAGATTTTATTTATTTATGCTTATAGAACAGGGGTACCGGCCAGAGGTGTGGTGGGTGAGAGGATTCGGCAAAGACAGAGTGGGGAGCAGAACAGGCAGATTGACAAAGTACACTGCTGAGGGTAGCAGCGGGTGTGTCAGAAGAGATCTGCCACACTATGTGGGTCAGCTCCCTGGCTGGGATCAAACTTGTGCTGCAGTGGCTTGAGAGCTTCATAATGCAGTGCTTTAACCCATTGTGCTACCAAGGGAGAGCCCCTGTAATTACCATTTTTTAAGTCATTAAAAGGTACCATTTAGTGCTTCATAGTTACTGAATTCTTTGTATTTGTCTTCGTTCTTACAGCAACATTCTGAGGTGTTTCCGGGGTAAAGAGTTGTCCAATCACAGCTTTCTAATTGATAAAGTCTAGGTTAGGAGCATCCAGAACCTCTTTTTTATTTTGCCAAATCATAGTGTCTCCCACTTTTAAAAGTAAAATTGTGTTTTTACATTTTAAACTAATTTTGGTGTTTGTTGCCAAAAGATAGGCAGATTTCTCATTTTTATAAATGTTCCTTCAGATTTTGGGAATCTTTTTACAAGCTCTTTTAAAAGTAATTTTTTTAATTAAAAATTACAAAATAGAGTCCTGAAGTATTTTTATGAAGACTTCAGTATGTTTACAATTTAAAAATTGAAAAAGTGGCAGCAGTCAGCAGGTAACACATACTCAAATCCTGGCCAAGTACTCATTCTTCAACTTCACGTGCTTGGTAGTTGAGGCCTATGTGTAGTCACTGTCTAAAGATGCGCCCCTTTGGATCTACTGGAAGTGGTTGTACAAACACCCGCAGTGGGGGATGTTGCTTGAACTCCCTGGATTAGAGTCGTAAATTTGTGAGTGGTTACTCTGCAGCATGCCTTATCAAGTAGTAACTTTGTGGGAAGAAATTTGTTAAATGCTTAATCAGAGAAGACATTCTCCCTTGCAGAAGCTATACACATTTTTTTAAAAAATTGCTCATTTTTATTTTAATTTTTTAAAAAGATTTATTTATGCATATAAGAGCTGAGGTATAGGTCAGAGGTATATGTTTGTGGGGGGAGGGGTGAGAGGATTCACCAGAGACAGAGTGGTGAGCAAAACAGGAAGACCTATGAAGAACAGGAATAACACTGCTGAGGGGGGCAGTTGGAGAGAGAGGAGAGGTCTTCTGTGCCTTGTCGGTTAGCTCACTGGCCAGGGATAGGTTTCATGCTGCAGTGGCTGGTGATAGTTTGATAGTGCTGACACTTAACCCCATGTGCCACCATTGAGGCCTCAAATTTTTAAACATAAGTTATCTGGGAATTATCTGTGGGCGGGAAGAGGCTAAATAATGGAGCTAAAATACAAAAAAGGTTGTCTTTGTTAATGTCAGGAGCCAAACCCCATTTATCACTCATGAAATGCAAGCAGAAAGTATAATTTGTGATAGATGTTAAATGCGTGAGTTTGGATACATTTACACATATTAGTGAGAAGGGGTAGTAAAGAAAGAAACCAATTTGAAATATTTCTTGACTTAAATTTTATGGTCCATTCTCCAGTTTCCTGCTGTGTTCATAATCTTTGACTTTTTTTTTTCAGGCATTGGAGGTGATCCTTTTAATGGAACAGATTTTATTGACTGCCTTGAAATCTTCCTGAATGATCCAGCCACAGAAGGCATCATACTGATTGGTGAAATTGGTGGTAATGCAGAAGAAAAGGCGGCCGAGTTTTTGAAGCAACATAATTCAGTAAGTTTGGGTTTAGAACAATATAGCTTTTTGTTCTTAAGTGATATCAAAGGCTTGTTTTAGTGTTTTTTTTTTTTTCAAGGATTACTTTTTCAGGAAAACATGAAAGGTAAAATTAAACCTCTTAGAACTAGGCCTGTTCTATCCTGGCCACTCAGAAAACTTGATGCTCTTTCTGGATTGCTTCTGTTGCCCCTTTATCAAAGTCTGTTTTCTGTTCAGATCCTTCTTGGCATTCTCACCCCATAGGTTTGTGGGAGGTAAGTTGCCTCCTAGTGAACAGATAACATTCATGCCATCAGCTTGAAAAAGCCCTCACTTGGCCTGTATTACACATTCACTTTTCTGTTCTTCCTCCTCAGAGGAAATAAGTGTTCTTGCTCTTTTTGACTTTCAAAAGAGCCTATCCTTTTTATACTCTTTTTCAGAATCTCACTACCCTGTAGCAACATCTTTTCCTTAGAGTGCAGCAATTCTCTTCAAAAGTCAATTAGAAAAACTATTTCCTGTGTCACATGAAGGCTTTTCCTTCTCTTTAGCAAAATATTTAGGTTAATATGACATGACACTATATCCAGGCAAACTTTAAAATATATTTTGAATAGCTTAGAAATGAATGGGGCATGCTAAGCTTCACTTGGTACATGCTTTCCTAATCCTGGTTAGTTCTTTTGCAACTAATTCTTAATGAGGGCCTATTGTGTTAGGAGATTCTGTTTGAACAGTTCAAATCAACATGTTATATACAGCAATACAGAGTGAGCTCTTAATAATCATACTTGCTGCTACAGCTATTATTGTGATCATGACAGTGACAGTAATTATTTGCAAAAGTAGTATTGTTTAGTCTTTCCTGTCTTTTTGAGTAAGATGATTTCGTTCTTTTGTGAATGAGGGAGACTAATAACCTGACAATGTTATATACAAGCACATGGACCAGAGGTGGGATTCACAGCTCGGTGTCCCCGACTTCCCTGTAACACCATGGAGGGATGGGGACAGATGGTGTGCGCTGATGACAAGAGTCAGGCGTCTTGGGCATGTGCTCGGTGTCACCCTAACTGATATGTCTGTGTTTCTTATCATTTATATATCCAGTTTTTCAGATAGGATGGTCTCCCCATAGCCGCCTAGTTGTGCTTTTCTCTGCTTAAAAATCTCAAGTGACTTTTGTTGGTGGCTCCATCCTACTCTTGTCCCTATCTAGTGTAGTATTCCCACTATTTGAATATGGGCACAGAGGGATCAAGTAGAGATTTGTGCCACTCAAATCTCCACAGAACCCACAGTGAATGAATAAATGACTTGTGGAGTCTTAATTTTCCACTGTAGCTCTGGGCATACAGAAGGAAGTGAGACCATAGTCCTTGTGTTTAAGGAATTAATGGTTTAGGAGGGAGAACTCATAGGAAATAAGTTGCAGTCACTGAACTGAGAATAGTGCTAAAGGCACAGATTGCTGAACAGAGGATGATCAACTATGAGGGCATTTGTGGAGATTGAGGGGATGAGTCAGAAAGGCTTGAGAAGGGAATGCTTGCAAGTTAAGTAGGAATTTGCCAGATATTTGAGAATGGAGAACATTCTCAGCAGGTGAATAGAGGCAGGGCACCTGGAATTACAGGAAGAAAAAGAGCAGGGGAGAAGAGTGGGAGATGACACTGTTGGGTAAGCAGTGTCAGGCCATGCAAAATCTGGCTTGCTAATACCTTCACAGGGCTAAGCACAGTGGAAGCAAATTGCTAGGAATCATTCCCTGCCATGCACTTGCAGCTAAAAATATGGTCAAATTCATTTAAGAGTGTCCTTGATTAAACAAAAAATTATTAATTTTATCAAATCTCTATCTTGAGTTAGTATTTTGTGTTGAAATGGAAAGTAAAGCACTTTTCCAGTGAGCTGAGTTAGCAGCTATTTTCATGGAACACCAGTTTTGCTTGAAAGAATAAACAGCAAACTGGTTATTCAGACCTTGGTATTTAACAGTCCTTTCTAAAAAAAAATGAATTGAGTGGGCCTGCCATATTAAGGAGGAACAGCTCATGGTGTTTGTTGCCAGTGATAAAACTGAGCTTCTGTCTGTTGCTTACATAACAACATCCCCCTAGGAAAGGCATTCTTAATGATACTGATGAATGTGACTTGTTGATACTGAATGCTGCCATGTGTTAGCATTTGGAAGAACAGTGTAACTTAGAGAAATATGGAGAACCTATATTTTTTCTCTGACCAATGCGTGTTACAGAATCATCACTTAAAAGATCCTTTCAAACTGCAAGATCAATCAATGGATTTTAAAGTAACAAAGGACAAGAGGTTCATTGCTGTGGTTTCACAGTCCAGCATTGTATTTAACCTTTAAGAATTAGTGCTTGAAGAGGTTTGTGTTGCCTCAAAGGAGAATGGCCACAATTATCTTGGAGGCTATTAAAATACTTTTCCAACTATGTGTGTGTGTGAGTCCAGATTTTCTTCTGGTACTTCAGCCAGAATGACATATTGCAATAGAGAGAATGTAAAAGCAGATACCAGAGTTCATTTACCTTTCATTTAGTTGAGCTGCAAAACTATAAAATAATGTCTCACAGAATGTCATTTTGAATGAATTAATAAAAATTTATAAAATTTCATTAATCTTTTTTATAAAGTAAGTAGCAGATAAAATCATTAAAAACAAAAGTCCTTTGGGATCCTTGACAACTTTTAAGTATAAGGAAGGGGTTCCAAATGCTTGTGAACAACTGCTTGAGAGGAATAGGTAGTGATAATGCCTGGATGAGGCCCACAGATTCCAGCTTTGCCCCTGGGCTGCCCTGCGCAGGCCTCACTGTTTTACCTGGATCCTCTCTTGCCTCTGGACTCCTGTTATGAATGTGCTATTTGTGAATTTTGTGAAATTTAGCATATATTCATATATTCCTTTATGGCATCTCTTACCTGATTGATATTTTTATGTTATATATTCATAAAAATATACGTTTAAAATTTGGTTATTTTTTCAACTGTAATTCTAGATGACAGAGATCTTACATTTCCTGTGTATGGGTTTTATGTTAACCTCAGAAACAGTGCTGCCATTACTTAGAACTTGCACATTAGAATGGATTTTTGTTGAATAAAACCTCACCTGATCTTCTTTCTTAGCTTTTATAGAATTTCAGAGGAGAAAGGATCCGTGGCCATCGAGCTGATTTAGCTATTTTATTTCATGAATGAGAAAGCAGATGTTTAGAGATGTGCCTTGTCCAAAGTAATGCAGGTTTTGTCAGTAGGAGTCAGCTGTCCTACATCCTTCCCAGTATACCTTTCGTCCTCATCTTTCAGTAAATGTACTCAGATGACCCAATAATCGATTAAGACATAAAATGAGATTGAAATAATACAAGCTGTTTTGGTGTCTTGATTATCGCAAGTCACACACTTTCAAGTGTGCCCTGTTTTTTCAAATTAGTTACACTTATGTATTTATAAAACGGTTTGTGCCAGTGAAGTTAAAGTTTAATATCTAAACAGATTTTTAAAAATTACCCAGAATGATTTCCTGAGTTTGTAAAAATGTGAGTCATCATAAAGGAGAATGAGTTGGTTTCATAGCTTGATATTCGTATTGGTTTTCTGTGTGAGGATGAATGCTAGATCCTGCCAAATCCCCTTGCTGTTTGCTAGCAAAACCATAAATTTGAAGTCTGGTTTTGATCCATGTTTTCATTAGCATGTGTAAAATATCACTTTCCAGGGTCCCAAAGCAAAACCTGTGGTGTCCTTCATTGCTGGTTTAACGGCTCCTCCGGGCAGGAGAATGGGACACGCAGGGGCAATTATTGCTGGAGGAAAAGGTGGCGCCAAAGAGAAGATATCTGCCCTTCAGAGTGCGGGGGTTGTAGTCAGCATGTCTCCTGCGCAACTGGGAACCACCATCTACAAGGTAAGCTGTGCCAGTGGCCTGCGTGCCCAGATTACAGGCCTCAAGCTGTGGGCCACACTGGATACCTAGAAATTGTGACATTTTCTTCTGGGTCTTAGCTATTCTTTTCTTTTTTGTTTTTGTGTAGCTTAACAATGTATGGCAACTAGGCTGTCACACATCTGATTAAAAAACTTTCTTTTTAAAATAATTGGTATTTGCCCTTTTGTGAACGGCAAGATGTGATGTAAAGAAAGTGTTTTGGAATTCACAAGTGCCATAAATTCCATTCCTTAGGTTTTTTTTTTTTTTTTTTTTTTTTTTTTTTTTTTTTTCCTGTGGAGGGTCTTTAGGATGTAACTGTTCAGGTAGATGGGTTGACAGCTGAGTACCCAGAAATAGAGAGGTAGTTGGGGTGAAGGGAGATCTAAGGAAGCTGGCAGTGTAGGGTCAGCCTCTGGTTTCTGGCCTGACCTGTCTTTTGAGGCCATTGTTATTTATAGGTTGGAAGATGAACTTCTTAACTATCTTTTCCTTTCAGTAGGACACCATGGTTTAAATTTTTCCAAATGAGTTGGTGTTTTCTGTAATCATTTTGTAATCATTTAGCACACTCTTTATTTTTATGATAGTGAAAGCCTTCACTAAAAAGCAGACAAGAAACAAAGGAATTTTTTTAAGAATGCTCAAAAAAGAGGCACACGTTGCATTTCCAGGGCAGAATGGTGTTTTGATTCTACTTACTTGCCATAGACTTAAGAATAATAAACTGGATCCTTGTTTTATTGATGCTTTGTCTGGTCCTGTCTTTGGAATATGACACTCTGCCATAGTGTTTGAAATAAGCCTGGGTTGTTACTGAGTGTGGAAAGGTGAATTTATTAAAAGAGGGAAAGAAGGGCAAGAGCAAAATCTTACTTACTTTGGAGACATGTGTTACCATTTCCATCCAGTAGGTGGCGGCAGGCAACTACACAGATTGTGTACTCTTAATTGTTACAAGTCGAGAAGTGAGGTTTTCCATATTGTTTCGTTTTCAGACATTTCTAAGGTTCTTGACATTTTGTTCAAATCTTAAGTGAATCTTTGTTTAGTTTTATTCTCTTAGAAACTAAGCAAATCTTTCCATTGCCTTATTAAAAAGCCTGGTGTTCATGTCCAACATTAAAGCATTGGCTATCATAGTCAGTTTTGTCACCTGCTAGTGATACTACTGAAGTGTAGAAAATATAATTCAAAGCCTCAGCTTCTGCATTTAGGAGACAAAGTTGCAGTCCTGCATCAAGCAAGTGAAGTTCAAATGGACACAGATTAATTGGAAAGCTGTTATTTGTGTTTAAGCACTCTCATTCTGGTATATTTTACTTCTGTAATTTTTGGTTGTTCAAAGGATCCTGAAGATAAGAGGAAACAGCATCACTTTGCCCAGGAATATAATTTGGGTCTTTTGTCTTTTTATCTCCTCTCTTCACTTCTTTCCAAAGGAGTTCGAAAAGAGGAAGCTGCTGTGAAAGAAAAACCTAACATTTCCGACTCGTATGGATGACACAACATAGAATGGGAACCGGCAGCCGTCGGCATCTGATGTCTGCTTATGTCAGCCTGCGCACCTGACTCGGATTTCAGTACCATGAGAACCAACAAGGCTTAGAATGCCCTATATTGAGAAATTTTCACCTCATTATATAACAGAGACAGCCAATAAATCTCTCATTTGGCTTCAACACAGTTTGGAGACTTTATTATTCCATGTGGAAAATGGGGGGAATGGGAGAAGTGGAGGGTACATGTGTGTACAGTATGTTTGAATGAACTCTACAGAGAATCCTTTGACTTGAGAGAATGAGGCTATAAAAAGATTCAGTATGCTGTTTGTCTTAGACATGGAGTGACTAAATCTTTTGAATCATAGTTCTCTCATATATATATATATATATATATATATATATATATATATAAAATACTCATCATCTTGCAGGCTGGTTTTGAATATTAGGGGTAAATATACAAAGTCTCTGACAATAACTTGTCAGGGCCACCACCATCATTACTGTTGTCGTCATTATTATTATCATCAAGATTGCAGGCAGAAACCCATCTGCGTTTCTGTTGTTTTCCTAGTTGGGCTATGGAAGGGCTCAATAATGATGCATTTTTCTGTGGTTGTGCAGAGGGTGCTCCTCTTCCCCATCCAGAACCCCATTTCCTTGCTTGAGATTTAAGACATTCACAGAAGGAAAGAGAGACAACATATTCTCATATTGTTTAACTGGCCAAAGAAGAGCTTCACAATACAATGAAAAAAAGTTTGGGGAGGTGTCCCTGAGGAGGGGATGTGAAGATGGTATCTATCAGTCATGCACAAAAGGGAGGACAAGTCTCCAGGGACGTGATGAGTGCTAACTTGGAGGAAGTGAAGAACAGAGTGCTTTGGACCAGTGAGCCTGGGGAGGGGCTAAAGGAGGTTTTGGGGAGCTGGGGAAGCAGGTTTTTAGGGGGTTTCTATGACCATGCCCAGGCTGTTGAGAATCAAAGAAAAGGTGTCAGGGGAGGGATTCACAGCCTAAGCTTTCCACATGGGCCAAGGGACAGGTACACTTTAATTCCTGCTCATAGCTGTTTCCTCATGGTGAAAGCAGGACGATGGCCCCCATGTCGTAGGGTGGCTGGCAGAACACAGCTTATGGATCTGCAGTCTACTCATTACAGGATGGGCTTGGCATTACTCCCTAACTCCTGAGTGTGTCCTGGGAGCACAGGCTGATTCCTGTGGGCATGGAGGAAAGCGTGCTCAGTCTTTCTGGGAGGGTGCATCCAGCCCATGATCTCAATAGAGCAAACCTGCTCTTGTTTAACAGTCTGTGACAGGGGCAATTCATAAGGCAGGTGACTAACAGAAGAGGGCCTTGTGAGCATACACCCCTGGTTCCAGGCTGCTCCAGGCCTAGCGGGGTCCCTTTTCTGTTCCTTGAGCATCCATCCTTGGACAGCCCCTCTCCTCATAACTTTTGTTGCGTAAAGCAGGAAGCTCAGTGCCCTCTTGACCCTATTCTCTTCTCCCACCAGTCTTCCCTCTCCCATTCCCTTTTCCCTTTACCCCTCCTAAGGCCTTGTGAAGCTCCCTCCTTCTGCCACCCTGGCCATCTTTCTCACCTCTTAAGCAGGAAGCTCAGTGCCCTCTTGACCCTATTCTCTTCTCCCACCAGTCTTCCCTCTCCCATTCCCTTTTCCCTTTACCCCTCCTAAGGCCTTGTGAAGCTCCCTCCTTCTGCCACCCTGGCCATCTTTCTCACCTCTTTGCTCTCCTCAACTACCACCACCTCTGGTCTGAGCAACTCTAAGCATATGTGAGCAGGATATCTGGTTCTGTTTTTTTCTGATTTCATTTGTACAAGCCCAAAAATGAAAGTCCAATTCGTGAGCCCAGTGCATTTTTAACTCATTAGAGAAACTTTTCAAACATTTGCAAAATAATTGGTAACAAACTCCCAAGTACTTATCAACTAACTTTGAAAATTATCAACATTCTGCTATTTTTATGTACTCTGTACCTGTAACTCATTCCTGTTGTTACTGTGGTTAATTTCATTTTAGAATAAGGAGGTTGATTTCTATAGGATTTTGATAGGGCTTTGGTTAAGTTCTATTGACTATTTTGAAAAGAACTGGCCAGTTAAACATATTGAGTCTTCTGTATTTCAGGGATTTTTTTTTTTTTTGCCACAAAAATATACAAACATAAATTGATTTTTGTACATTGATGTGGCTAAATAAATTTATTAAATTTAATGGCTTTAAAAAGAGGTTTTTCAGGAATTTAGTATTAGAATTGTTTCCTATGACTAGAGTTTTACTTCTTTCTTTTCAAACTTCGTGCTGTTTTCTTTTTCTTGCCCTATTGCACTTGCTGAATAGGTGTAAGAACAGATATCGTTGCCTACTTTCCAACCTGGAGATTTTTTCATTAAAGATGATATTAAATTGATGATGTTCATACCTGTCCTTCATCACATGGGAGAATTTCCTCTCTGTTCCCAGTTTAGCTGAATGTTTCTGGTGTTGTTTTTGTATATTTTTAAACCTGAATGGTTAAGAAGTTTGTCAATTGATTTTTTAATTTGTGAAATGAATGTCTTTATTTACTCAATTTAAATGTTTGGTTTTTAAATATTAATATATATATTCCTATTCATAAATACTATTTGGTCATATTACTCTGTCATATGTTGCTGCATCATTCTGCTAATATTTTGATAAGAGGGATAATTTTCAAAATTTTATTTTCTTAGGATGTCTTTGCCAGGCTTATCATTAGGGTAATACTGGCTTTATATGATAATTTGGGAAGTGTTCCTCTATCCTCTATTTTCCGAAAGAGTTGGCATAAGATTGGTATTGTTTATTTCCTTAAATGTAATGGAATTCACCAGTAAAACTACCAGAGCTTGAAATTTACTATGTGACAGGTTTTGATTATAAATTCCATTTCTTTGATAGATTAAGACTTTTCAGATTTACTGTTTGGCCTTGTACCATTATTTTGGTAATTCTAGTATTTATTGTACATTGGGGAGGGCCTTCAAGCAAAAGCTACAAATTCAGATATTTCACAGGTAATACCTTCCATCATCTGCCTGTATTTGATCACCCTTATAGATAATTGTTTTCTTATAAATTATTTGTCTAAATTTGTTGTGGGAAGATCCATCTGATTAAGTTATTCCTTATTCCTAGTCATTACTAGAAGCTGGAAATCCTTCATGACATCACTTTATAGAAATGAAAGGGCCCCTCTTCTTTAGCTGTTCCTAAGATTCTGCCCTTGAACAGGAAGCTAAGCCAGGTAAGACACATCCTTCTCAGATGTCATCAGTTTTGTCAAGCTAGTTCACCCTGGGTTTCTGGGTCTCATCTTGTCCTGTGAGTCATGTGTGATGGCTTTGAGTTAAACTGACATCCTGGGGGCAGGTCCAAGGCCAAGATTTGAGGAGACTTTAAATGAGCTCGATCTGGTGTTTTATTGCTTTGAACATCTCACACATTTCCGGTTTCCATACACCCCAAACACAGAGAATAGCCACTTCTTGGATTTTTCACAGTCTTTTTTGGAGGCAGTGATTATGGTAGACTGTGTTTTAAAAATTAATTTAATTTTAATTTTGGGATTACATTTTTATGTGGTAGTCTCTCGCTGAGAAAAGCTGTAAAGTGCCCTCAGTCCAGAAGTAAGTCATTTGTCACACTTTTCTGGAGTCCCACTGAAATAACACACAGATTCTCACCTCAACTTTCCTCCTTCAGGTCCTGCCCTAATCCTTTCCCACCCCCAGGCCCCCTGCAGTGGTTCCACATCTTCCTACTGCTCCACTTCTAGCTGTTGCTGTCTTTGAAAACTACTCTTATTTTTTCTGCAGAACTTTAACACTTGCTGTGCCTTAGTTCCAGCTCTTTAGGTAAGTCCTGGTCTTCATAATCATATATATTAATAATTCTTAAATAATCAAGTAATCACAGTCACAACTGCTCCCTCAGAAGTAATTCTGGGGCCAGTACAAAAATGGGACTTTTTTTGGCCTGCTCTCTACTTGCAGCTTCTTATATGACTCCAGCGCTGTATAACATATCAACAACTAGCCTCTGATACCAACTAGGTTCCCTATAATTTTGCTGATGTCAGATAGTAGCTACCAGGTAACACAGACCTTCTGGGCTAAGGGGCTTAGTCCCGCAACTTTGTTCAACTTCAGATATCAATTGTAAGTGCTGATGTTTTCTCCAGATCTCTTAATTTTGTCTTACTTGACCACAGTTTTGGGGCTTCCCACAAACAAATCCTTCAGATTCAATAATTTGTTAGGATGGTCACAGAATCTAAAATAATATACAGACATATATATATGCATATATATGTGTGTATATATATATGCATATATATATGTGTATATATATGCATATATATATGTGTGTATATATATATATGCCTATATATATATATGCAAAAGATTTATTTATTCATACAAGGACTGGAATCTAGGCCAGAGGTGTGGGGGTGGCGGGGTGGTGAGAAGATTTACCAGAGACAGCGTAGGGAACAGAACAGGCAGATTGACTAAAATACACGGGAGCAGTGGGCAGGACTGGAGAGGTCTGCCGAGACATGTAGGTCACTTCCCTGGCTGGGGTACAGTGGGTTGTGTCTAGCTTCATAGTGCTGTGCTTTAATTCCTTGTGCCACCAGGGAGGACCCCATACAATTATTTTTTATAATAGAACTCAGGTAATGTCAAATGGAAGTAAAGATCAGGGCAAGGTGTAGGCGGGAAGGCACAGGAGCTCTCTCCTCACGGAGTAGACAGCCATTAACATATTCTCCATTGGAAACTTCCTAAACATCATCCAGAGTGTTTATTGCAACTTGATTATGGTGGTATGATTGATTAAGTCAGTACTGATCTCAGTCTCACTTCCCTTTCTGTAAGTTCCCACTCTGTAATCACTGGTTGGTTTCCCTGTCCAGCTTGGCCAGCTCCTCCCTAGAAATATGAGAGCTCACCCTGAATCCTCACATCAGCATGAAATCATTGTGGCCTAAAAGGGTTCATTATGGACAACAAAAGACAGTCTTATCAGGATACTCCAAAGGCTTCTTTTCTCCAAGGGGTTTTGAGGTTTTGTGTCAGGAGCAGTAGACAAGACCAGATTATTCTTTATTATATTATCACCCAGAA